ATTTTGTGACAGGATCTCGCTAAATTGCTTAGGGCCTTGCTAGCTGACCTTGAACTTAAAATTCTCCTGCCTCAGCCTCTGGAGTTTCTGGGATTATAGGTGTGTGTTACTGAGCCCAGCTACAAAATGGAAATTATATATCTGGGATTGAACATGAATGGGAAGAGATGACACAAACAAGTGACATGAGCAATGAATCTAGAACCCCATGACATCTACTAAGCGCCATCATAGCATTCACTATGTAGCATCATCCCTCTTCAGATCAAATCCATGGCCATATGGGACTCTCACTCAATCAGTTTAAAAAAAAAAAAAAGGAAAATCCCTAAACCCCTAACTTTTTTAATAGATAGATTGGTTCTTTATGTAGGCAAAAAAAAAATGATGTCTGCAATATAGTCTTATTCAGGGGTGATTGTGAAAGACAGTGATAATACATTGTTTGAAAGAAGTCCTCTCAATGGGCAGAGCTTCAGTAGGTGGTCATACTTTGTGTGATAGGAGAAGTGTCCTAGAGGGAGATTGCATATGGACTCATGGACAGTGGTAAATGATCAGGAGCCTGTAAGAAGAAAATTATATATCAAGACAAGAAGGTCTAGGGAAGAAGTATGTACCTGGACATATAAGAGTGGGCAGAATGTGTGAAGATTTTTTTTAATTACCTATTAATGCCAACCAGAAAGTACCTGAACAGCATGGACACCAAACAGCCATGTAGACAAAATAATTGGACTAATTCACTGGCACGAGAGGCAAATGGATRTCATGGCCACAATGGCAGAGATGGAAGCTGTGCATGGGTTGAAAAACATGGATTCCCACTTACCAAGGCTGATCTAGTGATCACTTTTTTTGAAAGTTTAACCTACCAGCATCAGACAATAATGCAGAACCTCTAATTTGGCATTGTTCCTTGAGAAGACCAACCAGTCATTCGGTATCAAAGAGACTACTACATGGGACCCTTTTCTCCTGGGAAAGGGTTCCTCCCTCCCCAGAGGAATAGTTATTTCATTTGGGTCTGTCTTTGCCTTTCCTGCCCACAGGTCTCAGCACCATTATCAAGCCATTTACAGAAAGCTTGATCTATAGACTTGAAAAAATATAGTATCCAACTATATTTTTTTACAGACCCACTGGTTATGCCATGTAGTGCTATATAACTTAGCCACTAGAGGCTACTGCCTAGAGTATTGGCATGTTTGCTGAAAGTGCAGCTGAAACACTGAGAAAGCAGTACACTGCAAGGTCAGGGTAACATGACTGGTATAGATATTAAATAACTCATCTTGTAAGGCACCATATCCCCAGTAGGAAGAATACATTCCTAAGTCTGGAAACTAAGAGGAAGAACCAGCAGTGACTTTATTTGCCACACTCTTAGAGATACCCACCTTCCAAGGGATTCCCACAGTTTTGGATTCTATAGGATTAGAGATCCTAATCCCCAACATGGGTGAATTCTTGCCTGGAGACATAGCAAAGCTCCCATTGAGCTATGGGTTACCACTTCCACTTGCACACTTTGGGCTCTCTAGTCAGGGCAAGAGGAAGAGACACTTATCTTGTCAGGGTTAAGGACCCTAATCAGTAGTAAAAGACAGGATGGCTATTATGTGATGGGAGCAGAGAGGAATGTGTATGGAACAGAAGAGGCACATTCTTAACTAATTGTAACAAATAATAGTGATGTAGTGGTAGAGGCTAAACATTAGTAAAATTACCAGAGTTCAGACCTCACAGGAATGAGGGTTTGGGATACAGCAGCAGGTGAGCTATTAATGCTAACAGAGGACCACAGGACTTTGGAATACAGAGTGAAGGAGGGAGATAATGAGTACCAACTATGTACTCATAAAATCAACTATGTAGGCATGGAGGCTGTACTTCATCCTGCTAACCTTCCTCTTTTAAGTTACCCCTTGGAGGAGAGGCCTACCACAACCCTGGAGGAGCCACTCCCCAAATATTTTTATGAAGTGGATCCAATAGGTCTATAAGGTAAACTGTGAAGGATGTGAAGATGTGTTAATCAAATTTTCCTTTAAGAAAAGGGCTCACTCCTCAGCTGTAAGAGGTGTGATAAATTGACAGTCCCCAGCTGATGATGCTTTCTGAGTTAGCTTCAGGTTTTCATCCTATGCTGTTCTCAGGGTGGTTCCCAGCCAATGACTGAGCAAGGCCTATTGCCACTCAATGGGGAAATTCTGTGAGAGACAATCTTTTATGTGGACAATCTGTGTGATCAGCCTACTCAATCTGACTTCTGCTCCTTTTTTTTTTTTTCACACATGTTCCCTTCACCCACAATAAGCTTGTGTGTTTCTAACTTCTCTTCAGTATCTACTTCTAGGGCATCTAACTGGAATAGTGGTGGATTGGAATCAGGCCCCTGAACTCTACATTCTCTGCTCCCAAACTTGGGATGGGTGACCAGACTCATCAGAACTGCTGTTTTCTCATATGTACAATTAAAGATACTTATTTCTTTCATATCCACATTACACAGTTATTATGAGGATAAAATGAACATATACAGGAAAATGTCATGCAATTTGAAAGTCACTATGTAAACTGTCATAGTTTTTATTAAAAGAACTAAAGTGCAAAGCATGATGCCACATGCCTGTAATCCCACCTACTAAAAAGGCTGAGGTAAGAAGATCACAAGTTAGATGCAGGCCTGGACAACTTAGTGAGACCCTGTCTCAAGATAACAAAATAAACAAAAAGGGCTGTGAATGCAGCTCAGTGGCAGAATGATTGTCTGGTACATATCAGTTCAGTTTCCAGTACTGCAAAAAAAAAAAGGTTTAAAGAGTTAAAGTATTTCCCAGGTTACCAAACAATGCTCAACAGCTTAAAAAAACTCAGATAATAGTTTTCAAGTCCTCTGAAAGCCGGTATGATGTATGCAGGTTTTCTGAAGCTCTATTTATTCCCAGGGAGTAATTTATACACCTAGATATCCTGTTTGACAATCAGATACAGACCTAGACAAAGAATCTGTAGAGTACTGCAGTAAGCTGTTTTGGTTTGTTTCTTTTCATTTCTAGGATAACAATTTTTACTAAGAAGAAACAAGAAACGTTGAAATCTCTTTTGACAAACACAGAAGCTAGAGGTTTTTTTTTTWAAAAAATACTTAATATCCATGTGACCATGAACCAATTTTTTTTCTGACATTCTTGTAATATGATGCAATTTTATATTTGGAGGTAAGTTTTATAATGTTACAATCTTAACGTATGTACACAAAATATTTCCTATAGTTTTGCACTTATTCTCTGTATTCTTGTTTATTGAACAAAAAGACCTAATGATCAGGTCAGTTACTTTAACAGAAACATTTTTAGCAGTTACTTTTTCATGAAAAAGAAGGGAAATTTTTCTATAAAGTGCTATTGTTTGCTAAGCTGGCAACTCTGGTTTGCAGTGGGTTTTCTCTCTTCCAGTCTTTTAAAAGGTATTTCTTTGATTTGCATTTAAGGGTTAACACAAATTGTTACAAACTTTGAAAACTTGTGGTTTAATATGAAGAATTAATAACCACAAAAGTGGGAAGTTATACTCCATGTATGTACGATATGCCAAAAGACGTTCTACAGTCATATATAACTAAAAAGAATTTTAAAAATTTTAAAAAGAAATGTTCTTACACATATTTTAGAAATATGGATAAAAGAAAAATTCCCTAATACTCTACCATGGTACAGAATACCCGCACTGTGACTTGGACACTAATAGGAAAGAGAATGTCAATAATAGAAATGATTATAAAATCTACTAGGCAAATTTAATGTTTCATCATGATTTCATGTGAATATCAGAGTTCTTCAGATTGACATGGCATTTTGTATGTGCATTCTGGGAACCCTGATAATTGAATACAACTTCAAAAAGGCTAACATCCAGTGACCGCCAAATGGGGTTCATAGAACAGTACACAATGATGAAACCTGAAGCAATAAAACACGGATGAACTGAAATATAAACATTTCGTGCTCCCAGGACATGGCTGAATTTTCATTTCATTTTGTTTCAGAGTTCCACTAGGCTGTCTTCAGACATCTTCTTTCATATCTTAAGTTTTGTCTGAGGGATATTAGGGGAGAATCCCAGTTTGGAGGAACCCCATAAACCCATAGCACATAGTTCCTATACTGTAAAAGGGTGTTTCTTTCTGAACATAGTTGTCTCTTTGATTCCCACAGAGCACATGAAGTCAAATTTACACGTGAGGGTCCCYTTGCCTGGAGTTCTAAATATCTCAGTTCCTCCACCTTTTCTCCTTTCCCTTGGGTTTGGAGGCCACCTGTGCCACCGGGCACACCTTCGATTCTCCCGGTGCCGGGAGCTTGAAGGCTGCAAGCTCCGACCCCGGGAAGGAGGGGCTAAGCSGAAAGAAACTAACAGTCGGGAGCGCGGCCGCTCACTGGCAGCGCTGGGGGACGCGGAGGGGCGGGGCGGCGCGCGCGCTCCGCCGCCGCCGCCGCGTCACCAGCGTGCGGCACGTGCCCGTGTTTACGTCCCTCGTGGAGCCGCCGACGTCAGCAGCTTAATGGCAACATTGTGGCGATGCTGAGGCGCAGAGTTTAGGAGACGCGTCTACCGTGAGGCCGGCTCCGCTCCGTGGGCAGGAAGAAGAGCAGGGACGGGGAGATCGGCCCCGGCGAGCGGCGGTGATACACAGCCCGCCGGCCCGGCCCGGCCCTGCAGCGCCGGCTTCTCGTCTCCGGAGTGCTGTAGACGCAGCTCTGCGGCCTCGCGCGGGGGGCGGCCGGGCAGCCGCGAGGCGCTGCCGCAGCGCCGGGCTTGTAAACAGATCCGGCCGCACGTGACCATGTGAACTACCTGCTTCGGGGACGCGTATTGTCTCTCCCGCGAGCCGCACCACAAAGGAGCTTGGCGGTTCGAGTGCGGAGGGGCGGCTGAGCGAGCGCAGAGAGCCGGCCGGTGTGCTAAGATGGCTGAAGGCGCCCGGAGAGGGTGAGCAGGGGGCRCGGTGCAGCCAGCGGCCGAGACTTCAGGCGGGTAGGGCCGTCGGCCCTTCCCCGCGGCCGGGCGCCGCAGCCACCATGTCTTTCGCTCTGGAGGAGACRCTCGAGTCGGACTGGGTGGCTGTGCGGCCCCATGTGTTCGATGAGCGCGAGAAGCACAAGTTCGTGTTCATTGTGGCCTGGAACGAGATCGAAGGCAAGTTTGCCATAACCTGCCACAACCGGACAGCCCAGAGGCAGAGGAGCGGCTCCCGGGAACAGGCGGGGACTCGAGGGGGTGCCGAGGCTGGCGCACCGGTGTCTGACGGGACTCGCGGGCCAGGCAGCCCGGTGGGCAAGGGACGGCCTGAGGCCACCGGCTCTGCGACTCCAGTCCGGAGCCCTGGGTCCCGGAGGAGTTCGACCTGGGCGGAGGGAGGCTCTCCGCGGAGCGCGCGCTGTCTTCGGGGGGACCCGCCGCAGCGGAGCCCKGCCGGCAGAGGAGCGGAGAGTCTTCTCAGGAGCCCTGCGCGGGCCAAGCCCAGCCCGGTCCGAAAAGGAGTGGAAGCCAGAGATGCGGCAGGGTCCGCCACTGCTACCCAAACGGCGCCCAAGGAGGCCCCGGTGTCCTCTGTGCGAGTTGTGAGCGCCTCCGGGGCGGTCTCCGAGGAGATCGAAGTCCTGGAAATGGTTAGGGAAGATGAGACGCCCCTGCCGCTCTCCGACGCGGAGCAGCCGCCTCCCGCGGCCGAGCCGGAGTCTCCGGCTGAAGAGTGCAGCTGGGCCGGGCTCTTTTCCTTTCAGGATCTTCGCGCCGTGCACCAGCAGCTGTGTTCTGTGAACTCGCAGCTGGAGCCATGCCTGCCAGTGTTCCCCGAGGAACCCTCCGGCATGTGGACCGTGCTGTTCGGGGGCGCCCCTGAGATGACAGAGCAGGAAATCGATACTCTGTGTTACCAGCTCCAGGTCTACCTGGGCCACGGCCTGGACACCTGTGGCTGGAAGATCCTCTCTCAGGTGCTCTTCACGGAGACCGATGATCCTGAGGAGTATTACGAAAGCCTCAGCGAGCTTCGACAGAAGGGTTACGAAGAAGTGCTTCAGCGGGCCAGGAAGCGTATCCAGGAGGTAAGAAGCTAGTTTGTGTTGTTGTTAACGCGTTTGGTTCCTCACTACTAAAGGCTGGAGCCAGGGTCTGGGATGTGCGCCTTTGGGATGGTTAGTTTTCTTCAAACGGGAAAAGGAAAAGAGGTGTTCCTGATCGCTCTTCCCATTCGTTTCTTTTAGTGGCTTATTTTAAAGTTCTTTGTTTCTGTGAAGGCGTTTTTTTGATAAGAATTAGATTTGCTTCCCCATTTACTAAATACATGCTATGTAATAAGTGCACTCTGTTTACAACTCGGCGTTGGTAATGAGATTAAAGCCACTGAGAAAAAAGGTATTCTATAATCAGATTAAATGAGCATTACTTATGTCCCCAAAACTTTTTCCAATAACTGCCCAGATGTCAACTCTTTCCTGGTGTCATTTCTTTACTTGAGATAGTTTGTCTCAAGAAGCAAAATTGATCTTATGTTTTCTTTTTATGCAGTCTGTTGATGCAGGCAGATTTTAAATTCATTTTATTTTTTTGGATGTTCAAACACTGAGTTATACCCCCAGCCCTAAATTTGATTTTTTTAATGAGTGATCTGTCCAAATTTAAAAAGAACTGACATTTGGATGCAAATTTATTTTTAGGATGTCTCWAGTCTTTACAGATGATTCAGGTTTCAGTCATGTTTTAGGGAGGAAAAAAAGGTCCTAGAAAGTAATGCTTATTATACTTTCRTACTTAAAATAAGTAAATGGAGTACAAAAGTTTTCAGTCCTTAAGATAACAGGAAATAAAGGGGAAAAATGCCAATATGGCCATATATATGGAACTTTACTAAAAAAGGATTTTAAAAGTTTCCTCTAATGGACAGTACAGGTAGCTTCKCAAGCAAGTTACTGTTAAAAAGTATTGGTAGAAATTAAGGTTAGATTTGAGATGGGGAAATGCCTTCTTTTATGGTGTTTTTATTCTTTAGATTGTGATATCATTTGTCTATGTATGTCTAATATTTGAATCTTGCTATTAGGCCAGGGTACTGAAGCCTCCTGGTTTCTGTGTTCAACAAGAGGTGTTTTTTATTGTCGGACTTGATAAACAGTTCCTTCTTCTACCACAGGACTTTTTACAATGTCCTATATACAGTATTCACTCCTTTCTGTTGGTTTGGATTATGTCATTCACTCATAACTTGCCTCTAGATTCCAGAAATCTTTTTTTTTTTCCTTTTTGTGTCTTCTGATGTCTTTTCTACCTTAAATTATTCTTGGAAAGAAGGGACGGAAATCACATTCTTTCTAGTGTTTTAATCTGTAGATCTTTTAAACTGTAAGACCAAAGTTAGTATTTCTTTCTTTTGCTCAGTTACAGAGTAATATTATAGTAGTTTTTTTTCCAAACTAGTAATTTTTCATCCCTTAGAATAGACCTTTCTGATTTTTAACTTTCAGGGTATTCAGAAAAAAGGAACTCTTTCTGGATTCAAATGGGTCAAAAATGAGCTGCCAAAAATATAGTTTTCTCAAACTCATTAATAGGGTTACATTTTTCAAAAATATATTTTTATTATAATATATTTCCCTAATTAATGTATTTTCCTATTTAAAAGATTGACTTTGTGTTTTATTTTCTTTGATAGCAAAAAGTTAAAACTTTTTTTTGTAGACTAGGAATTGAACCCAGGGATACTCTTATCTCCAACTCTTTTCATTTTTATATTTAGATAGGGTACTGCTAAATTGYCTCAGCTGGCCTCAAACTTGTGATCCTCCTGCCTCCTCCTCCAGAGTCTCTGGGATTATRGGCTTGTGCCTCCATGCCCAGCTAAAAAAGATTAAAATTTTAGGAGTATTTTGTGTTTTGGGAACCAACTCAAATATTATAAACTGAAACCATAAATACATAACTTTTGGTCCTTCACACAGTTTGCTTGAACAGTATTTTAAAAATATCAAAGACAGCAAATTTGTTTATAATGCCTACCTTCATTTGTACTGGAAGATTATGTTGAAATTTAGACCTGTTTTAGGGAAAGCATTATGTGGTTGATTAATGATGTCTGCCATGAGCATGGTATYGAAAGTGTATATAGGACACTGCCATGTATTTGTGTTCTGGCTGCTTAAAATTTTTGCTATCTTAATAGTTTGCAGTAGTTTTTTAGTTGTTTGTTTTGTTTTGATTTGTTTATGGTGCTGGGGAAAGAACCCAGGACCCTGCACATGCTAGGCAAGTGATCTAGTACTGAGCTATGCCTCCAGCCTCAGTAGTTAACATTTCTTAAGATAAAATCTGTATGGAAGTTGTGTTTTGTTTGTATTAATTCTGCGGCGTTTAGTAATTCCACCTAATTCAGTGTTGTTTATTCCCAGTTCTAAAGTTTATTCAGCTTAGAATATTACTTAGAAAATTACTTAGAAAATTTAGTCCTTTGATCTTGTTTTTCCTTCTTTAATTTCTGTCTTTTTTTGTGATACCACAGAACTACAGGATATCCTCAGCCCTTGTCTCCTTCAGTTGCTGAGGCTGTACTCAAACTTGTGATCCTCCTGAGTAACTGGGCAGGCTTGTGCCACCTTGCCAGCTCTACACCTGTTTTTGTTTAAAATGACCACTAAATTGTTGAAAGGAGGTTTGGTGGTGGTGGTGGTTTTTTGCTGTGCTGGGAATAGAACACAGGGTCTCAGGCATGCTAGGCAGGCACTCTCCCACTGGGCTATGTCCCCAGCTTCTCACACCTTAATCCCCTTCCTGTCCCCCACACCTTTTAAAATAAAACAGACTGTTCAACTAGATTGTAAATTTTGTAAGATACAAGTAGATTGAAAACTTTGCAAGGCCACTGGCCTTGACAGTATCTTGGCGTTCTCTTCTTTACTGCCCCTTCTTCACAAAATGTGAGCACTGTTAATGTTAGTAGATAAAAGGACACCAGGGTTTTCTTTTACTACAAGAGTATAGGATATGGAAGATGTATATTTCTAAGGCAAAGTGTGTAAATACAATTTCTGTAAATTGATAAACATAATTTTTGAGGGGCTATGATTTAAAAGATAGGAGAAAAAGCTCTGGAAATTACTAATAACTTTTTAAATAAGAGGTCTTTATTTGGGGTTGGTGAATTCCCCATAAAAGGGCAATGGATGGGTTAATGAAATGAGGCACTCTTAAGTAGCCTGCAAAGTATTACATATGTCAGCTGTGAGCATTATTGGAGATAAGGGCTTTTACCAACTTAAAAAAAAAATTTTTTTTTTGTCGTAGATGAACACAGTACCTTTTTTTTTTTTTTTTTTTGTTACCAGGGATTGTTACCAGGGCACTCAACCACTGAGCCATATCCCCAGCCCTATTTTTGTGTTTTATTTAGAGACAAGGTCTCACCGAGTTGCTTAGCACCTGATTTTGTTGATGCTGGCTTTGACCTCTTGATCCTCCTGTCTCAGCCTCCTCAACCACTGGGATTACAGGTGTGCACCACTGCAACGGGCATGATACCTTTATTTTTTAATTTTTTATTTTTAGTTGTAGTTGGACACAATATTTATTTATTGTTATGTGGTACTGAGGATCAAACCCAGCGCTTCCTATGTGCTAGGCAAGCTCTGTTTCACTGAGCCACAACCCCAGCCCCACAATGTCTTTATTTTTATTTATTTTATGTGGTGCTGAGGATGGAACCCAGTACCTCACATGGGCCAGGCAAGTGCTGTTCCACTGAGCTACAACCTCATTCCCTTTCATCAAACTTTTAAAAGATGTTCTTCAAATAGTTTAAAAAACCCTGTTGTAAATTATTTTTTAATTTATGGCACCTCTATGGGAGTTCAATTTTTGGAATATTCTTTGAGATTTAATATGGGATCTTAAGAAGTACTCCCATATCTTTGTTTTCTGCTTAAAGTCTTTGTAAATGATTCATTACTTTGGTCAGTTGACTGAAAATTATAGTTTGTAAGGACTTATAACTATTATAGAGCTAATAAATTATTTTTAGATGACAGAAGAGTTGGAAGATTATGTACTACTTTAAGCCTCAATTCTAACTAAATGTGAAATTTGGTTTACAGGGGTTTATTGCTATTTATACAGCAGGCACTTAATCCCTATGTGAATGCAGGTACCACCAAGGCCTCTTTGCATAGTTTTACCGGTAGGCCTTGGTTGTTGGTCAGAGCTGAGGTGTGTATTACAGTGTTGTGTGCATAGGTGGCCAATACTGAGGCTTATCTTTGACCTGGATTTTGTAAATAACAGTTTCTGTGTAAGGACAGCTTTCTTGAAATGATTAATTATGGTGCTGTRGTTGGTAAACCTTAATTATGATCTAAAAATCAGTATTTACTTGGGAATTTATGATGTTTACAAAAATGTTTTCTAACTTCTTTCCAGTTGAAACCACTGTTTGAGAGCAGTATGTGCGAAAAAAATCAAAACAAAAAACCCACACACAGCTTACCTAACTATTTAGAGTTGGAAAGACCTAGGTTTGAATTAACACTCACCCCTTCAGGTTTAGTTATTTGAACAGGGAAGTGAGCCRGGTGCAGTGGTGTGTGCCTGTAATGCCAGCTACTTGGGAGGCTRAGACAGGAAGATTACAAATTCAAGGCCAATCTCAGCAGTTTAGTGAGACCCAGTCTCAAAATGACGTTTAAAAAAATATATTTGAAAAAAGACTAGGGATGTTTCTTAGTGGTAGAGACTGGGTTCAACCCCTAGTATGCAATATAAACAAATAATAACAGGAGGAGGGAATTGAAAAAAATACCTGAAGAATGTTTTCTTATGTAATTAAGTGCCCAATAAAGTCCCTAGCATTTACAGAAGAGCTTCTATTGAAGTAGTTTTTCTGTTTCATGTAGTAAAGATTCTCTAGTTTTTTACCAAATCATTCTTTTAGAGATTATAGGTTTTTTTTAAAAGAATATTTATTTATTTATTTATTTATTTTTGTGTAGTGCTGGGGACTGAATCCAGGGCTTTGTGCATGTGGGGCAAGCATTCTACCAACTGAGGTACATCCCCAGCTATT